CCCAAAAATGAGCACTATAACAATATATACAGACTCACAATCTATTATTTCAAAATACAACAAGCTTATACAATCACTGCCTACACCTAACAGACAATACTCTTACAACTATTGGCCAATATGGCACACACTACTCAACTTTATTACTGCATACCAAATTCAAATACATCTCCAAAAAGTAACTGTACATAGCAACAATATATTTAACAATATAGCTGATAAACTAGCCAAAAACTCAAATCAACCACATATACTTACTATTCTTCACAACAATATATACAATCCATCATATTACCTCTACTATAACAAATATCCTATAGAGCAACCTGCACGTAGAACAATTAAAAACATTAGCAATGCCTACAATATAGCAATGTAGTCCTCTCAAAACTGAATAGAAAACATTCTACCTTTATCCTTACTAATTAACTGGAAAGCCACTTGGCTTTTTCTTAATAACAATCACAAAAGATTTACATCTTATACTAGCTTCAGTCTATGTCACAAAAAAACCTTTAAAGTCAAACTTATGTTAGGAATACTACCTACACTATCTCATCTTCACTCTCTTTATCCAACTATATACCCAGATAAATATTGCATTTCATGCAATACATATGACAGTCAGTTACACTGGCTAACATGTCCAAACTCACATATACTAAACTCTACTATTATTAACACAATACAACAATTCTTTAACAATTCACAACTAGATATAACAACTATACAATTACAAGAACTACACAACAAACTTATTAATCACTCATCTATCTCTTTAACCAACCTTAGTAGAAATTACACAAATATATATACAACTATACAAGGCTTCATTCCAATCACATTAATCAATACTATATGAGAATATACTACTAGCAACCAGTCAGCAACTGATATTACAATAAAATTCTTAATCCAACTATCTCAAAACATATATAACCAAATATGAAAACCATACTGTATCAAACTATCGGAATGGAAACAGCAAAATAATATTTTCAACTAACCATTACGTAATTGACTAACTAACTTTAATACTTCAATCAGATTACTATTACAAACTCGACTATTATATACCTATAGTTGTACTTGTGGACTTCCAGACCAACAGCATACAGGTAACTTCTACAACTCTTATATTTGCCTACTGCAAGGAAAAGCAAATAAAAAACTATTCAAATGGATACCTGAATGGATAAACTATAGTACCTCTACCAATAATATCTTACAATATCAAATCTAGGTGAGTTTTAACCACTCTAGTAGGTTTAGGTTGCAGATAAATTAGATAAAATTAGATAATAATTTTGTTTATAGTCTGAGTCTCATTCTTGTAAAAAAATTTGTAAATTGACTCCGGCCTGTGTCAACTCTCGTAGTTGCCCAAAACAAATTAATAATAAAGATAAAGACAAAACCTCACCTTAAAAAAAAAAAAAAAAAAAACATATTTCATTTCTATATAAATCTTATTTTAACACTAAAATTATATGATAAATGATCTGCTTACCCTACCCTTAATGTTAATCAACATATCGATTATGAAAGTAATAGAGTTCGATATCTTTTTACAACCAATAAAATTATTTATATGCAATGACCTAATGATCTTAGTAACCGAAAAATTTGGTCAAATGACATGTCATTTAGACCTTTTTATGGCATTTGATGATGATACGTATCAAATTTTCTTGGCTAATGATTGTGAAACTGAAAAATCCTTGATTTAACAAATATGTAAATAAATTCGATCATAATTTGCATTAATTAATAATAAGACTTTAACTGGAACAATGGCTCAAATTTTTTAATATTTCTTTTTTATTTAATAAATTGAAAATACAAGTACGTAACTCATTATAGTAAAACCATCATCTGAGAAAAAATATCTACATAGTATAATTATATCAAGTTTAATTACGTAGTGAGGATTTAACCCTGCATTAGCCGATAATCTTTGATGGGAAATTATTATTATTTAATGATATGATAAAGTTGGTTTAGAACCTTTTTTTTTTTTACTTAAAAGTTAATGGTCAGTAGTGGTTTCGTTAACAGATTTTTCGCGATCCGAAGTTAATGTATCGCTAATAATAAAACCTATTCCCTTATTCAATACTTGTTGACGCTAAAATTGATTAAGGATTATATCTCCTTTCTCTGAAATAATTGATGCACAAATAATATGCAGTGATGACTAGAAAGGTATCGCGTGGAAAGGAGAGATTACATTATAATAAAAAAATTGGACCAAACATTAATAATGATTGCTAAATCGTCAAATAAAATTAATGATGTTCCTGGGACTTGAGCGAAACTAAAATCAAAAGTTATTTGAAAGCACATTCATTTCTCAAAAATGGTTAATTTGATTTCAATCAAATTTTTAGACAAAAAACCTTTTTTTTTACTTGACCTATTTTGACCAATTTAGTTGTAATAAATTGTGTGGTCTAAATTTTTTGAAAAAGTCTACCAAGGTTTGTTGTAGACTTATATGAGTTTGTTGAGTTTTTATTGGCATATTTTCTCTATCGTATTCTATCGTAGATAAGCACTGCACTATCTCCTCAACTTATTTTTTAACTTCATATTAACGGAAATAATTTGGCAAAAGGCGTATTTTATTTTGTTCGTCTTAAAAAAAAATAAGGTTAAAAGATGGTGTTATACCGATAATATAGCATATATATTTTACAGATGTTCTTTCTAGGACAAATTAAAAATTTGGTTGTTACCCGAAATCTTTCGGTTTCGTCCTGTAAATCACCTACTCTCCCCGGAAACTACATCGCTATCTTCGAACTTTCAGTCTGGAGACAGCGATGTAGTTTTCAGAGAGTTAGATAATTTCGAAAAGATTTCGGGTAACGAACAAATTTTTAATTTGTCCCAGAATTTATAAGAACAGCCGTAAGTTGATAAATTTACCCGAGTTTCTGTTCGGGAACTTAAGGCTTAAATGTTAAATGTATATTCGGTAAAAAGTTTTAATTGTATATTCGGTAAAATGTTTCTTATGTAATTATAAAATATGTCACACAAAGTGTGTCGCGAGGGATGCTACAATTTAAAATATTTACATACTGGTGGATGTACCTAAAAATTTTAAGGTTTTAAAGTTAGTTGATATTTCATCTTAAGTTAAAAAATTGAGATATAACAGGTTACCCACCCGTTGGTCCTTCAATCGTATAAATTTTTTTTTTAAATTATAAATGTTCAATCACGCTAACGTTAATTATAATGATTTATTCTTGTATTAAAAATTTAAGTTCACGTTCATGATTTTTTTCTTACTAAAATAGGAATCACGTAAACAAAAGGTAGAATAGCACGTATACCAAATATATAAAGTTTTATTGGTTTTTTATTATATATTATATATCTTATTCTTAATGTCCTTATTCACACATAAAAAGAAATAATAATAATTGAATGTCCTGAATGAATCCCTCTAATTAATAAATGTAATAAATTCCTTGCTATAATATCAAGATTAATAATATGAATAATACCTTGGGCCACATCTGTACCAGCCGAAATGTGTGCCAACGGAAACCACAATATTACCAATGTGCTCAAATACAACAAAATCCAATCTAAAAAAAGTTGTACAAGAGTAATATGATAATAGGACGTTATTATTGCAATGATGACATTATCTCTCCCATGTATTGGTTTAATATAGGATCATTTATTTCTGGACAGATACACGGGCCCAAAGGAAATTCATTTTCTTCAATATTTTGGTCTAACAGGGGACCATTGTTTCCTGAAAATTCACAAGCACCAAATGGAAATTCAAGAGTTGATGCTTCAGCTACAGCATCACTTTCGAAATTATTCACTGCAGCAGAATTTTCTGCTTGATAATTAAAAGCATCTTCATCTTCAACAGTAGGTGTTTCGACAACAAAGGGATTTTCAGTCACCGAATCTTCGTTATCATGAACATTATCGTGAACGTTATCAGTCACTGAATCTTCGTTATCATGAACATTAGAAGCTTCGGTGGTAGTGGCAGGCTGGTTTTCCATAATATATGTATGTATATATATATTTATATCGTTTTTTTTTTTTTGTGAAAAATTTTGATTTTATTTCGTTTTTTTTTTCTTATTATTATTAGTTTTGAATTTTGGAGGTTTTTTTTTCTTTGGAAAAAAAAAAATTCAAAGAAATCAGCCAAAAGCTATGACTCAACTAGACTAACTATTCGTATTTATTAATTCATTAATTTTGTGAAACAGCAGTAATTAAGTAATTACGCAATTGTATATACCCTCGGCTTCAAATATGCTGATTATAGTTTGATTGTCTCAATATTATCTGTCTCATGATTTTCTTTTTGACACTCTAGTTAAACTTTATGGAAAATGCCGAGAACCATTCAAATTGTTGTTTCTAACTGAATGTCATGACCTCGGTAATTAATTGGTGCGATTGTATGTGAGGTGCTATTCGAAGATCGAATTAGTGTTATACGATTTTGTAATCCATTGTGTATTAAAGAAAATATCGATAAAAATAATGCCTCTCAAAGTATGTCCTCTTGGAAATAAGAAAAAAAAGTGCACACTTAATGAGACTTAATGAGGTATATATTTAGAAACGTTAGATAAAGGTGCATTTAAGAGGTATTCTAATTAATTACAAGGTTACAATATATCCGCATGGTATCCAGATCGGTATTTGTACTGTAGTGCTGAAATAAATATTACAGGTTGTGCTGATTCGTAATAGAGTTTTGAAACCGGTTTAACGTAAGAAAATAAATCGGTTCCAAACTCTAGTTAGAAATAAATACCTCGTCCACGAACATTTCCAGTTAAGTCTTCTATCACGTGTAGAGAACGATAGTTAACTGGTCAACTCACTATTTGTGTCTCCGTGTATGCGGCTATGGTTGGTAGGCAGATAAGCCCTAATTTGACATAGGACCATTTACTGTTTTGGAGGATAAGTGGAAATATTTTACATAATCCATGCGCTGGGTTCAATTTCCAAGGCTTTTTAGAACGAATAAAAAAAAATTAACAACCAAATATTTCTTGAGGTATTAATAAACATTAAATGTAAACAAATTTAAGGTGTCTGGAATTTACAAATTTTTACGGAGTATTAAATGCGATATATCTTGCAAAGCATTTTTATGTGCCATTTTATTGAACAACCGTTAGAAAAGAAAATTTGGAAAAACGGAAAAACGGAATTTTTTTCAACGTAACGCGTTTTATAAGAGAATCCCATACCAATACTTCCTATTACAAAAGATCTACATCGATTAACGCAATTGGTAAATGAGTATTTTTGTGTACATCCATTAAGACAAAGCATTTTAGGCATGTTCTGTATTGAACCATGCGTTATGATGCAAAGTTACAATGTGATAAAAAATTATTGGTTGGAAATTTATTAAAAAAAACGTTTTTTATAAATTTATACGTACAGTACTAACGATAGATATATATATTAAGGCAAGTGCTTGGCAGATATGCCTTTTTTTTTTTTTGAGAAACAGGAGAAGAAATCTTTAGTTACTAGTTTTATAATGTTACGAGTGTAAATTTATATTAAACTGTTCAAAATTATATATACTGCTAAGGTCAATGATGCATTTACTCTTAATAATTTTAGTTAGACGATTTGTAATGTGTAGATGATCTCATTTATTATCGATAAACATTAATATGTACGTACGTAAATCGATGCCAAGATGGCTCGGGTCGGAAATCCAAAATTGGTATATATACCATACTATTCTACTATATATGCTAGATATGGCAGATATAGTGAATCTGGCAGATACGTAGAGCATATCGACCTTATTTATCAGATAGAGCAGAAAAGATTTGATCGTAAAAGAAATGCATATAAAAAGAGGAGACGACGAAGTTAGAGTTCAATATTGTTTAGCTCTACTAATTTCCCCCTCGATAACCAAATCCCGTGATTTTGTACTAAGAGACCCGTGACGTAGTCTAGAGCTCTAGTTATTCTTCATTATTAGGGTAGTTTGAATAGTTTTAGTTAGTGTTAGTATAGTGTTGTAGCATATTTTTGTGGTACAGAGCATTTTCATAACGTATATACCGTAGATAGATAATATAATCTAATATCGAATATGTTATAAATTCTCTGCATTAGTTAACATTCTCGGTAACGGCTAATATTTTATTATATTAAGTAATGTTTTCTAAATGATTCAGCTCATTATCAAGATAAGAAATTACCTTGAAATTGTCACAAGCTGTTTATAAATTGTCTAATAATATAGCTATGTTTCAAGATTTTTTTATTAATATATAAGTTTTAGGCATTTATCTTGTAGAATATTTCTTAGTATATACATACATACTACATAAGGTGGTAACTTAACCAAATAATTCAAAACTATGTAAGCAAACTATAAAATTTAATATTGTCACGATTTAAAATAAGATCGTCGATAATTTATTTAAAGAATCAACCGCATAATTAAAGTAATATATATATTAAGTAGTAAATGTAGCGTAATCAGCGTAATTAATACGTATATGTAGCGTAATTAGAAGATTTAGCGTAATTAGTAGCTTTAGTGTAATTAGTAAATTGAGCGTATGTAGCGTAGTTAGAGTAATTAGTGTATATGGAGTATTTAGTGCATATAGCATATTTAGCGTATAGATAAAAGTATATAAGTAATGCGTTCTAAATGTAAAAAGACAGGTCTTGAAATACAATTAATAAAGTAACACTTACCCTTAGTACTCGCCAAATCCGACGCCTCTTTTGAGTACTATTCCGTCCGACGTTACGTGAGAGACTTTCGTTTACCCTATGAATAGAGATTTTTAAGAAACCAACTTTTCCATAGTATTACAATATTTAAGATGTTCTATATTAAAAAGACCTATTTTAACATATATTTTAATTTGAAATAATTGAGTTTAATCATTTGTTTTGATTTTTGAACTAATCTAAGATTAAACAAATTTCATAATTTTGATTAGTTAAAGATAACAGATTACTATCAGATAATCTCAATGCAATTAATCTTAAACAGCCTCATGTGATTTTTTATATTATTTTCGTTTTTTATTATGCAAATTAATTTTTATTTTCAAAAAATTGCAAAATAACCCTTTTTAATACAGAACACTCTATATTACAGATTTTTATACGTATACAAAGTGAAAATTAATTTAATATATCTATTAAGATTAGGCTATTAGGTAATAAATTACCATTGGTAAATTACAGTAATTTACTAAGTAATTTACCAAAGGTATGATAAATTTATTTTTATACGTATACTTAAGGTTGGGTTTGTCTATGTAATTTGATTGATTATAAAAATTTTTTGACAACTAAATTACATGATTTTATAAATATGCATATACTGTATATATGTTGCATCTAAAATAGCGATTTCTCTAAAGTAACGTCTGGCTAAAATTAAGCCTCTAAAATTAGATCTTCATGCATGCATTAGGTTATAATTTTAACCAGGGCGCTACTTTAGATATATAAAGTGGCTACTTTAAATAAATCACTACTTCAGATGCGACATATACACCTTAAGAATAGCTAAAGGTAAATTTATTATAATTTACCAAATAGCTTAGGTAAATTTACCAAACAATTTTAAAATTACAACCTTGATTAAGCTATATATATATTTATTAAAATTAATTACTTTAAAATGACGCAACTTATTGCAAACCCAAAGAATTACCTTGAAATTTCACAAGAAAAGTATTAAGTGTTGGAGAATAAAGTTACACGTCCGTATTTTCTATTGACATATAAACTTAAACATTTCATTAATTAAAGTAAAAGAAAATTAGAATTTAAATGTACTTTAATAAAGTTTTTGCAAATCAAGCGTAACTTTTTAGAGGTGACTTCTATGAATAGTTTTTTTCAATTAAAAAAAAAAATTAAAAAAAGAAGTGCAATGTCAAGATGCGTTCTTTAGAATTTGTACGTTATTTATCTAAACATATATCAATATGATATTTAATATTTTTAAAATCTGATAATCGAGTATACACTGGCAATTATAAATAACGCAATACGTGATAATTTTTATAATAAAACATAGTAACTATTGAAATTTTCACTCTATAATAAAAATTTTTAGAAACCTTTTTTATTATAGAGTGAAAATTTCAATAATTACATTTGTGAGCGGAAACAGTATTTCGGATGCAGAGGTGGATAGGGAATAAGGGGAGGATGTAAAGACAAATTACACATCCTTAAGAATATTAAATAAATAATTGTAAGTAGTTTTAAGGTATAATAAGTGCAAAGTCGCATTTGTGAGCGACGAAAGTTAATAATATAAATAAATGCCAAAATGGCCCTTAGGAGCAGAAATGCTTCGTTTGCTTTATTAAATAAGTCCCAATATCATACATCGTTCATAATATTACATTAACCCTCTACCCAGCATAAACCCTATAAACTCTATATAAATTATTGTTTGATCAAGTTCTTGATCACGTGACTTACCCTACTAGACTTTGTTGACCTCAAGTAACCGAAAGCCTTAATCACCCACCAGCCAAATATAACACCTTTTTCGAAAGGTTACCTATCGTTGGTTACACGAGATTTTGGATTGTGGAGCGACCGAGTCCGTCCACGACAGGACGTACATATAGAAATCATGATAGTACGTATGGTTTGTAAAAGAAAAAAATTCTTTCAAACAATGCTAATTTCCTATAACCTCACACGAAAAAAGATCAATGCTCGCACTTGCCCTAACCCTAAACATAAAAAAGGGTTTACTTGTAAATGATTAGGTCTCCCTTTCATTTCGGAGTGACGAGTAAGCATTAACTAAATAACTATACTAAATAATTATATTAAATAATTAAATTAAAGAATTAAATTAAATAATTATATTTAAATAATTATATCAAATAATGCTTATTAGCCACACCCAATGATTAGTCACATTCTTGTACCAAATGGATAATGATCACCAGTGGTAATAAATAACAAACTCCAATTAAATTTAATTTAAAGCTTCTAAAGGATCACAATATTTTGGATTACTGATTGTAATTAGTAAATCTCTTCCAAAAAAAGCAAAAGAAAAAAAAATTTTAAAAAGAGTAAATTCTAAAATCGTGTTGGTATCCGATAGGATTTTTTAAAAAAAAAATCAATAAGGAGAAGAAAAGGTAAAATTCTAAAATAGTGTTTGTACATACCAGATAGAAAAAAGTTTGGCACATGTTTATCCGATAGATAACCGAGTGACCGACGTGTATAAAATTTAATCTGATACAAAATAGAATATCCTCTGTTCAATCAACGAAAGATTATCTATCAATAAATAAGGTCTTGCTCAAAGGCGACAATTTGGGCAAGACTTTAAATAGTGATTGAACCCGTCTTAAAAAGTACAATCCGGTTACCCGACGGGTAGACCCGCTGGTCCCGGATATATGACCCACCCTACTCAGGTTCAATCACTAACTATAATGATACGATAAATGAAGAAATACATAAAATTTATGGAAGGATTTAAGTATGAATAAATGGATTTGGAGATCCTTTATTTACATCGCTTCCTATTTGGGCTAGGTGCTGGGAAAAGGGACCAATCGATATTTTTTCAAAATTGATGTTTTAAACCTAACTGCTTTAAAATTAGCTTATGACCAATTTTCACTTAAGAAAGAAATACTGTTTGTTGCATTAATAAAATTTTACAGTATAATCTTTTGAAATCTAAATTTTCCTATAAGTTAATATAGACTTTATCAATTTTTTTGATAATTTGGTCCCTTTTTCCAGCACCTAGCCCATTTTATTTATTTTACATTATAGAGAATAATAAAAATCATAGAAGTATAGAGGCTTTTGTTTGGCAACGGGAAGTATCTCATAAATTTTTCCTTTTCTTCCCGTTCCATTTGGTTTTCTTCGTTTACTAACACTTTATTTCTTCCTTATGAACATCCAAATTCGCTTTAGTAATGTCACTTATTGCGATGTGACTATGAACTTACATTAGTTGACTTTTTTTGTCCTGGTTCTAACGTCGGAACATAAGAACAAGGTCACTTGTCACATAAATCGCTTAAGTACAGGCAAGGACTGTGAAAATATCGATTTGATTTGGCAAAAATATTTATTGATATAGTAATAGTCAAAAATATCGATTTATCAAGATTGGCCATTCGGAATGCACGATTTGGTGTAACACAATATGGGGGCGTTATCTATTAAAACAGCCCTTTTTTTGCAATTTTTTGAAAAATGAGTTTTTATTGAATTCTTATAAATTTTGACATGATTGACATTTTTCAATTATAAGTGAAAGTCGATTTGTTATAATAAAAAATTAAGATAATGTAAAAGGCCGAGATTACCTGATAGTCGCCTGTTACCTTTAACCAATCAAAATCGTGACCCGGGCAGTGTTATAAATTCAAAAAATATTTATTCGAGCAAACGCAAAAAAATGTGCACAAAAAAAAAATTTTTATACGCGCGCTATATATACGGAGAGCGCCGATATACGCGCAAATTTAAATCTATGTACACTGCGCTTACTGCGCGAACCCAATTTACATCACTGGACCCGGGTGCCTGAAATACATAACAATTTATCCGGATAATCGTGTAATTTAATAATGTCGGGTAGAGATTTTCTCAACAGGTCCAATCTAGGTCCAATCTCTAAATGCAAATATTGGTTTTCTGTTTGTTGATTGTCGAATTAAAAATAGCAATTTTGGCCTAAAAATGTCGATTTACATACAATCAATATAAATCGACTGTCCCTGAGTATAAACATTCATAAGTGCGTGCAATATTTTTACTTAGCACTATAAAATTTCAAGTGTTATTAATTTTTAGATTTCCTGTATTTCAACAAAAAGAATAATCTCACGAACCTATATACCCTAAGGTCACGACAGATTTTTTAAAAGCTGAAAATAGTAATAAATTTTGTTCGGGTATGATCACTACTTTATACAGGATGTGATCATAATATTTCATGTCAAGATTTATTGGTTGGATTAGAGATTGGACCCGTTGAGAAAATCTCTACCCGGGTTATCTGGGTAATTAATTATGTATTTCGAGTAATCATATAGCAACAATTTCTACCCGGGTCCAATCACTAGGTTGGATGTGTCCTAGAATTTATGATAGAAATCTGCTACTATTTCCACCATGGTAATTTGCTATTTATAAATTTTGCCTACTCCTAACCCTATCTCTAACCTAATTCTTGTCATGCATGACCTACATTCCGTGGTGGAAATAGCAAAATAACATGGTGGAAATAGTAGATCCGTTTATGATAATACAGTAATTGTAATAAAGTGCAGAGATTAGAAACCGAATATTATCGAGATTTATTTCTAGCATCTAAAATAGCACTAGTGATTTCATTCGATAAACATAATTATTCATGTAAAATGATTCTAATTACGTAATATCACTAGTGCTGGAAAGAGTTTGACATTACGATCTTATAATTATATTTGATGATCAAGTGTAAATGATCTCACAACATGCATAATCCTTAAAGAAAATCACTATTTGAAGTGTAAAACAAAGTATTTATACGTACATATAACACTGTCGTTATCTGTTGGATAAATTTAATATGTAGTAAAAATCGGTCAAATTATCCGTTAAATTTAATATGAAACGGATCCAAGCTTTAACCCCTGTTAATATCAACCTCGCTAAAGATTAACATTAACCTCCTATTAATAAAAAATTATAAAAAATTGAGTACAGACTATATAAATAATTATCTTTTTGTTATTAACCTTTACTATACATCAACATAATTATCTAATCAAAATGGACTATACCTTTCATAGCTAACATTTTTGATGAAGTTTAAGCTATTCTAATCTAATTATTTTGACATTCAATTAACCCTATCAGCATAAATCAATATTGTTAGTGTTTCGTAAAAAAAAATTTATAAATATCTGTACGATAACCTTTAAAAGAAAAAGTAAAGTCTTTAAACTTTACAATCTACTAAAATTTAGCTTGATAATTATGAATCAAAAAATATTCATCATATCAATTATTATCTTGTTTAGCAGTTTAACGCTGCCAGTCGCTACTGATATTAATGACACTATTACTTTTGATTCTTGTCCTAAGGTAACACCTACTTGCAGCAGCAGTAAGTTTTACTTTTATGATTAAAGTAAACGAGGTTTTATCAAAGTATATACTAAAAAAAAATTATTATTTATTAGGTAATTCACAAAATCCAGGGTTAGTGTGTTTATTTAATTTTCTTTTATATTGTTTTATATTAACGTTAATAATTTAATATACAAATTTTTATCAGAGATATTGTAGCAATAGATTGTGAATTTATTTCAGTCTACGAAGAAATCGGAGGAAAAATAGCTAAATATTATCCTGCTCAAGTTGCAATAGTGGATTATGATGGTAGAGTAATATTAAATGAATTTATACGTCCTCCTAGACCAGTTGAACTTTGGAGCAATGGAATACGTCGGCAAGATATACTTGACCCTAAAAACAATGGCAAGTATATTTAAAAAAAAAATTTGATTTTATGAAATTTTTATATATATTATTGCATATTCTAAATAACATTCAATATTCAGCAAAACCTTTTCTGGAAGCACAATCATTAGTGAAGGAAAAAATAAAGGATCGGATAGTCGTTGGTTTTAATTTGTTCAATGATTTAACAGTAAGTATTGTGTAATCTTTATTAATTTATCTGTTTTAATTAATGGTTTGTTATTATAATTATTAAGGCACTTCAGATATTCGACCATCCTATAACTAAGATACGTGATATTTCACGTTGTGAAAAATACCAACTTAAAGATAGAACTGGAACACGCAAGTTAAAAGACGTAGTGAAAGAAGAACTTAATATTATAGTGAAGACAAGTACTAGATTTATTAATGGTCAAGAAATTATTACGGATTTTCCAGTAAATTTAGTTTACACTTTTTGATATTACAATAAATGCATAATTTTAAATTTATAAAATATATTATTAGGATGAAGATGCTCGGGTAACTATGGAATTATTTAAAGCAAATCGAGATCTTTGGATGGAAATGGTACCAACAACTCCTCCTAAAAGTTGGCGGAAATCTCCAATTTCATGTCCTGTTGTAAAAGGTCCAATTCCTACTATAGTTCCTAATATGCAACTTATCATTGCCCCGCCTTGTGAGCCTAGTCCCGAGTAATTATTTATTATTATACGTTAATCTTACATTTTTATACGTATTCAAAAATTAATTAATAATTTTATTAGACACTATTTGTCATTGTATACCACAACTGTTACCCGGGAGAATGAGAAAATTCCCGTTCGAATAACAACAGTGGATTATCATTTTAATATTGTTGTGGATGAATTTATACGTCAACCTGTTACAGATCAACAACTACTTTCTATTGGAATTGATTCAAAAGCATACCGAGCCAAAGGTGAAATATCCAAAAGAAAAGATTATATATACTATGAATTATTTATATTAGTGTTTTAAACCATATGGTTTTAGTCAGTTGGCTAAGCCGGCCGACTAAAATGTTGACTAAGCAGCCGTTTCGGTCTTTTCAGCATAATTTATAATCATGTGACCTTAACCGCATTAATCAGTCGATCATATTATATCAGCTGGCTTAGCCGGCTATGTCGATTAAGCCGCTTAAATCGCTAATATATATTATTGTAATGTTCAGCACGTAGTTTAACGGAAATACAAAGGGTATTAGAAAAAGCAATGTCGAATAAGGTTATCGTTAGTTATTTTACTCTTGATACTTTTCGGGTACGTAGATATAAATAAATATATATATATATATGTTGTAAGTGAAACGGAATTTTACATAACAATAAAATTACATTTTGGAGTTGATTTTAGTATATATACACATTAATTCTAACCCCAATTTAACTAGGAAATTCCGAATCCACTTAAATTCCATTCCCATTTATGATATATATATATATATTGCTTTTCATTCAGTTATACGTTTGCATTTGTTTAATTATTCTTAATTATAAAGCAATTAAATTTAAGAATTCCAAATGAAATGTCACGGGATACTCGGTTCTATCCTGATCATCCTGGGAGGGCTCGTAGTTTACAAACGGTGGCAAAGGAACAATTAAATATGGAGATTGCACAAGGCAGCAAAGTATTTGCGGTAAATTTAATTTTCTAGTTTTTGTTTAAATTTTTTTTTTTAAAATTTTTATACGTATTATTAATTATGAATATTGATGTAATAGGAAGCAGCTGCAAAGGCAATTATGCGATTGTACCAAAAATATGAAGGTTGGGGATACAGATTTTTACCTAAAAGAATAAAATAATCTATCTGATAGGTGGCGCAAATCTTATTCAATAGTTTAGGAGTAATGATTAATATTTTAAATATAATATATAGGATATTTTAAATAGAATATTTTAAATAGAATATCGATATTTTAAATAAATAAATTTATTAATTAATAAATATTTTTGTATTAAAATGCTAAATTGAAATAAAAAAACATTAATAAAATTCATCTTTAGTTTAAAATAATCTGTCAGCATAGTCAAAACCTACGGATAACCAGATAACATACCCCTCTTCGCTCTGAACCTAAAATATTGATGTTAACCAACTAATTAACTTTGAAAGGCCTAACCATTCCAAATAATAAAAATATATTGTGAGCGTCACTATATCAAAATATTAATAAGCAAGTATACAATTAGAGTTCCAATCCGCCATTCATTCACCTGTATCTGAATTTATCCATATATTCATTTACTATTGATATCCAGATAATCCGGCAAACCTTTATCCGGATCCGAATGAATTCAGATCTTGGATATCCGATATATAAATGGATAAACGGAGAACTCTATATACAATTAACCAATCAAATATAAATAAAATATTTAAATTTAATCATGTTTTCATAAACGGTTTCATAAGCAATTCATGACTCAGAAGACAATCAGCCAATCATACAATTCATACATGGGGTTATATGGTAAGAAATAAGCATAATATTTAAATCTATTGCATTTGAATATTGCAAAGGCCGTTATCTTACAGAGACCCGTCGGGGCTATATATTCAAAATTGCTAGACCTGTATTAAACATTAAGTATATGTATAACGTCTCAAAAATTCAAACCGAAATTCGGATAAATTTCGACACGGGCCATATTTTAGATATCAATGGATTTGCAAAATAACTGAAATACGAATGTACCAGTAACTATATACGTATTATTAAAAAAATTGGATTGTTTCACAAACTTTGGACATATGAATTATTTATTTTTAATACGTAATCACAAAATTTTGCAATGATGTGTTATAGTTACCTGTGATACATCCAAATATCCAGTAGGTTATCTGTTTGAAAACAACAGTTATTATCCGTGAGACATTCATAACACCTGGATATATAGTTAACCATAAAAATATCTGGATAAAGGGTAATATTTAAAGATATGACAAAAATCAAACAGCTTTGGTGATTTAATGAATATTTTAAAAAAAATTGGTTATATAATTATCAAATCACACCATCTAGAATGAAAATTAGTTCGATAATACATGTTTCTATAAGACGTTCTTATGGGATAACTTGCTTATTTATATATTTTCGAAGACACAATAATTTACTAGTAAAATGAAGATAAACGAAATTATCATACACTTAAAGTTCATTGTTTAAAATAATAATGAAACTAACGGACTTGGGAGATAAATTCACTATTTTATTACCATTAAACTCATAGAAACATTGCCTAATTCAATTGTTGCGACTGATCTCAATTTAAAATATATAGTAGACAAATATATTTATACTCTTTTATTATCATCAAAACTATAGCCCTAATTTTTAATATACCAAAAAAGATTTGAAAATTTCATATTAAAATGATTAGTTTTGGTCGCGACATTAATTATTTAAGATATATGCAGATATATGATTTAAATTATTGCTTTAGTTTAAACTCACGTATCTAATATGATTCTCTTAAAGACAACATCTAATCTATAACCATGTTTTTTAAATAATTTGTCATTTAAATGAGGAGTGTAAAAAATAAATAATCATTTTATTGACAAAATTCGTCCAAAAGTATCAAAATTCCCAAGTTTTTCTTATTTATCATCGGTGGTTTAAGAAAAAAATTTGGTCGATAGTTACATATTAGAAAACGAGATAAGTTTTAGCAAATTCGTCAAGAGAACAAAGAGATGCAACATTAATTTTTATTATAATTAATAAATAAATTAAGTAGAACAATTATTAAATTAATATAAGTATTTGAATGAATTTTACGGAATATTTCGTCCAGACTAAATTATTTAGCGCTGGCAAAATATTTTAAAAATATCAACTTATTTAATTTATTGAAATACTGGACATGCTAGAAAAATAATTTGCCATAAACACTAATAGCCATACATGATACAGTAATTATGTGTGCTGATGTAAAATGGTTTTCTGCATGCTGTTGCAGCTACGTACGTAATTAGTTTATCGTAGTATTCGAATAACAAATAACTGGACAAATTTGGTGCAATGAGTCATTATGACACATTGATTCAAAAATGTCATACGTACGTGAAACGTCAATTTTTAAGATTTAGATTGCAGAGCTAAGATTAGTGGAGCTTAAACAGAAACCAATCTCACACGCTTATTTTGATTAAATGTCAATAAATATTTTTCAATCAATAAATATATGTTCGATTTTTAATTATATGATATGATACCACAATTTTATAGAATCATGGAATTACTTTATTAAGATGTTTTACGTAAGGTTCATATGACATGGTGAGATAATTATAAGGAATATTGTAGCATAAAAAAAAGAAAAACCAGCCGAATCATTTAAGTCATGAGAAATTAAATTAATATAAAATTCAATAACTTAAATGACCTGATTCATATCAAGTTTAAACGCAAGCCTTAATTAGTTCAAATTAAATAAAATTTGGACCAGAATAGTCAGTTGACATCTCCAAGTTTCACTAAAAATAGAATATATAAACAGAAAACAGAACGAATTACAATTAATTTAAAAGGTTTATTGTTAAAAGTTAATGAAATAATCTGTGTGAAAGAAGGACTTAAATAATTGAAACTTCCATTTCAACTTGTACAGATTAACTTTAGAAATAAATAAAGTAACCGGTAACAGTAAGTTACATAAACTAGTATGTGATGTATGGCTTAGTTAAGCCCATCATGAAAAAACGTCAAGCCGGCCTATCGTTATTGGTTCTTCTAAAAGAGATTAGGTTTGAGTTAAACCATTGTTTAAATTAACTGGTTAGCAAAATAAACAAACGATTGAATGTTAAACAGAATAAAATTTGTCATTATGCAAAGAAGAAAAAAAAACAATGAAACAATGTATACCTCAAATTTGGAAATAATAATTAAAATTCCCGCAATTGGTTATTTCATTTATCCAGTAACAATGACGAGAAATAAAAATGCCGAACATTCACATGAAAGAGATAATCTATGTTATACTGATCGATTGTTCGACGATACATCATCAACTTCAAAATTTCCTTCCTTTAAAATGACATATGTCACAATTTTTCACGATACACCGTTGTTGCCTCTAGATTACCTAAATAAAAAGCTTTTTTTCCAAAAATATTCTTTCAAAGCATTAAAAAAAAAAAGATGGCAGATGATAACATTATAATTGAAGACCACTTATACCTTAATTTTTCACAAATTCGAGAACAAATATTTTCGGTTAAAGAGTGGAATCTTTAGTGAAGCAATTTAAAGTTAACAAAATTGACATTCTATTGAACTTTCAACAAACTCATCACACATAAATCCAACCTACTAAATATTACTAAATATTGCTAAATATTAATTAATGTATCTTGCATTAAAAATTGTGCCTTAACCGTAAATTGAATAAGGACAATCTCAACATACCTGTATGCTCGATTGTAATACTTCTAAAAAGTAAAATAATTAACATACCATCTTTAGCAACATATTGCCGCGATAAATTGCTTACTTGATTGAGTTTTTCAGCAGCAGATCTTTCTTTACTTGTGCTTTTTTTGTTCCTAACGTTACAATTATGAAATAAATGGAAATTATTTAGTAAAAACAAAAAGAGAAAAGATTCATACAGCCATCCCTGATTGTATTTGTTTTTAACCATACTAGGTTTCGGCCCTTTTTCATAATTATGCGATCGTAAAATCATCTTAAATTAAGCATAAGTTAATGCTACTAAAATGGTAATAAGTATAGTTCATCTATATTTATTAATTTTCATATTACAAGTCTTATGTTTACATACAATAGAAAAGTACATGATTAAAATAAGAAAACTTGAACAAATGTTTACATGTACTGAATATACCAAAGTAGGGCATGTGAAAAACGGATATAGTACAGTATTATGTAAAAAGTGCGAGGTGGTTTAAAAATTGCGGAATGTAAAAAGCGCGGGAACCAAAGATACCGAATAAAGAAGTCCATTTGCCCAGGAAAAATAAGTGCGCAGTTTAAATGTATGTACTGAAAAAACATGATTCATGACTATTAAAATATGAAAAAGAAAAAACATTTATAATATGGAACATATTTAATATATTCATAATATGGACATATTTTATCAAAACTCTCATAACCCTTCTTCAGCTTCCTTCTTGAGTATAGAAACAATTTCATCGACAACTTGGTCTAAAAGTGATTTGGAAGAGGGAAATACATCACCATGAAAAAGAAAAGAAACATAACTACCATCTGCTGTGGTAGACATAACATTTGCGGAGTGATAATAACCCAAATTTTGAGAGGAAGACGTTTGAGTGTTGTTACTAGTCACTCTTGCTCTGTTTGCAGAAGACCTACTAGCAGTGACTTTATTTTTATTCATATCACTTATTTTTTTTTTATTGAAAAGTATGTTGGTTTTGTTTTTTTATTGATTTTATAATTTTTTTTTTGCTTTTTTATTGATTTTATAATTTTCTTTTATGAAGATAGAAAATACAATTTTAAAAGGAAAAAAGGGAAGCGAGATTATTAATAAACAAATTTTGTACCTAATTTAATTTGAATATGGATTTATTGATCACGTTTTTAAATTCATTCACATATTACCTTATAGTACCCAGGTTAATCTCATGATCTCATTAATACTGGGGTAAGGTTACGTGTGTTGTTGTCATGTAATACTGATTAAAGACCCATGTCTTAAATATATAACAAAAATATCTTTGTACTATATATTGTACGAAAGGGAAAAAGGAAACGTTTAAGATGCATATACGCTTTCATTTATGATGAGCAGTTGAGTATTTAAATAAAATAAAATAAAATAGCTCATGATTAATGAAATTCCTGTTGCCTGAAGGGAAATTCTTACAGTTCGTAAAAATTCCTGAGGATTAAATTCATCCGGATAATTCGGATTTATAAAGTTTAACTGTGTACTGTACACTTAACACGTGATGTGTTACACAGTCACGTGTATATACGTGTATATATGCGTGTATATATATAATTACATGATATATATGCGATTGCTTCTTCGTCTAAAGAAAAAAAAAACGAGAGATAAAGGAGTAAAGTATCAGAAGTTGTTGATTATTCCGATAAGAGACTAAAAAAAAAAAAAAGGTTGTAGGTTGTGTAAAACGGAATGTATGTTCCGAAGCATGTTAATCACCAACCGTTGTTTACGTGGTCGCTTACAGTTTCGTTGCATATCATGCGGAAATCCATTCTAAACGAAAAGATATTCACTGATAAGCTAACACGGACAGTAGCGAACTGTCGCGTAAATAACGGATTAAATAAACCATTGAAGTTTACGTATGTAAGATGCTTCAAAGATTGGATAATTTCTGGTTTATATAATTTATTTACAAAAAGTTTTTCGTCATCTAGTCTTTATTGTAGTTTTTTTATTATGGTCTTTGTTATGTCTTTTTTTTACTGCTTTGTTTTATGAAAAAAGCACAAGAATTAGAAAATTATAGGCCTTATATCATTACTTGTTAAAATTCTTAATTTATCCAAAAATAGGCAAATTAGCATTCATTTAAAAATCACAGTTTCGCAAATTATTTATTAATTTATAACGCATTAACTCAATCACTTCTATATTTCTTTTTTCTCCTTAAATTTGTACTAAATTTAGTGTAACTATATTACATAACAAAGTTTAGTATAAAAAAAATGAACCGATTTCAACATATGCTGTGAAAATTAATACGTATAAAATTGAAACCTTACTTATTTTTTTTTTTTAGATGTAGAATTTTGTCTTATTATTGTAAATTATTATTATTGTAAATTATTAATATTGTATATTATTAATATTGTAAACGAAAAAAAAGAAATAATCAAATTTAATACACCAACTTAATCCAATTTTTTTTTTTTACTTTAGTGAAAAAATAGTGTGCATAAAATTAATAAAGTTTGAAGATAATATGTATAACAAATTTATTTTACATTATCATCAGTATATAATTAATCGCGTAATACAGGTTGTTTGTTACTTAGAAACATATATATACCGTATAAAATAGATTGGTCGAAGTTTCGGAATTCCGGAGTTCCGGAGCTGTTAACGTTACATGCAAGAAATTCGAATTCGAATCAAAATATTCCAGCATAAATGAGAATAAATGAGATTCTTAATGAGATTCTTAATGAGAATCCTAATTAACATTTACTTTCATTTATTTAATATGAATGTATTAATTAAGGGTTTAAGACGCATAAAATTTCACACATTCCTGACGTTTCTAATTTAACTTTAAACCGATAAATGGATATATACATGAATCTTGGCAAATAGAATATTTAACATCATCAACGTGGTTCATTCGAGATAACAAATGGTAAAATCCTTGACAATGATTTATGCTTTGATATTGTAGAACCAACAGAACTGGTGAGTCATCTCTATATAATTCAAGGGAATCATGTAACGGTAATACAGTAATACGTACACTGTGATTTCTGTATTTGTATAAATATTTAAAGTTAAGGTTTTTTTTATCATCATTGATGAACATTGTCATGAGACCGACCTTAATATAAACAAAACAAACCTAATTATCACAAGAAATTTAACTAGATATAAGATAATATAAAATATAGGATGGACCCACACTCCCAGTATATGTTAATGGGTGGACCCCCAGTATATGGGGGTGAGTCAGTAGAAACGCACCATATCATTTTTAATGAAATTTTTTGAATCATTAAACAAAAATAACTTAGTAAATACTTAATCAAATTAATAAAAAATTTTTTAAACGAATTCTATAAGTTTTTAGGATTGTTTTAAAAAAATTTTTTTATTAAATTTGGTAAAGTTGTTGTTGAGTTATGTTTGTTTAAAAGTTTAAAAAAATTTACTTAGAAAAAATATGGTGCGTTTCTACTGACTCACTCCCATATGTTGTCACGATCTAAAATAGGATCGGGCACATATATACATGCTGGCAAAACTAAAAATCTCAAAATCCCACCCGAATCCCAAATATAATAAAATCAATAGTTTTGCCAGCAAGTATAGGCACATATGCAGCAGATTTAGTGTAATTAGCAGATATAGTGATATAGTAAATGTAGTGTAATTAGCGTAGTTAGCAGATTCATTGTAATTAGCGTAGTTAGCGGATTCATTGTATTTAGTATATTTAGCAGATAGAAAATAAGTATTTAAGCAGTACATTCAAAATATAAAAAACGGTAGTGACGCACACTAATAAAGTATAACCCACCTTAAATACTCGCCAAATCCACACACCTCTTTTGAGCGTTGTACGTCCGACGTTACGCGAGCGATCTAAGGCTACCCTATGAATAGGGGATTTTTAAGGAAGATATTTCTTGTACCGCGACTATGTTAATTTAAGCACATAACCCTATAAGGCTCACTTTATATAACCGGAAATTCATCCGAATTTTTCAATTTGTCCTGTAATTAAACGACTTAATATCATACTATAGACGATAAAAAGATAGTCTATCAGAATGTCACTCATATTAGTTTCAAATAGAATGTTGTCCGAGAAGACAATTACATTTTTAGATAAAAGATATTGTGTTGAAAAGACAGCCATCGCTGAAATTAAATCTGTATATGTATAATACTAGTCTCGTTAGTCTCGGAAAGGAATATTTAAGGTAAATGAATTCTTTCTATAATCTGGGTTTCTGTCTCATTTCTTATAAATGGCTTGTCCAGAACAACAGTCATGACAGATGAGTACAATAGTAGCTAGTTAATTCTTAGTATATTAGTCATTCAACGTACAACGAAAGCTGAGATGCAGAAAACCTATAATTGTATTTTACTATTTATATTTAGAAATATCTCTTCGAGGAGAGACAAAAGCGCGTTATTTAAATTTAAATTTTTTTTTTAACTCAAATAGGTCATCACACTGTTGGTCTTGCATTGAATCCATAAGTTCAATTTTTCTTATCGTTAAAAATACATTAAACTATCAGTGTAATAGTCTTTTGAGTTTAAAAAAAAATTTTGATTCAACACCATAAAACAGTGTTGGCCATTTTTGTCATATCCAACTTTATATGACCAAGGTAATCATAAAAAATATAGTAAATTTTATATGTCATAATAGGTCATAAGGTCATAACCTTTCAATAGCATAGGCCATAAAATATCATATAAATTACTGATACGTGTATGTTACACGAGATACGCGTTATTTCGAATCGCGTATGACCGTTACTTAAAACTATAACTACGTATTCAGATTTGCTACTTATACAGTACAATCAGACTTATAGGTCCAGTGGTCCAGTAGAGCGGACTTTTGGTCCAGAGCCCAACACTGAGTACAATACTTTATATTACGCATAAAAGATGTATATATAACAATCTTAAAAATTCATCGAAATATGAGCTATGAAATTTGACTTCTAATAAATTTATAATAATCATAAACAAAAAAAATCTGGGGTTTTTTCTTTAAGTCATATAAAATTTATAATAATCATAAACAAAAAAAATCTGAGGTTTTTTCTTTAAGTCATATAAAAGCAATAATAAGGCATATTTTATCTACATATGGATGTTTTCAATATGATACATGAATAAAATGAGAGTGCAATGATCTTCACTGGTAGTGTTTGTAATCGACATCTAGTTGATATAGTTGCCTCCTGACTAATTTAGTCGACTAAACAATTCCGTGCTTTTAATTAGAATATTATTCGTGATAAATTTTATTGGTTAATGAAAATTGTTCACGAAAAGATTACGTTTGGGTAAATTATTGATCTGACCAATAATAAGAAATGCAAGTTCCAGTCGACTAAGTTGTTGACGTTTCGATGAGATGATTCTACTCACTTTAATCACTATTTGTTGAACAAGTTCAATACATTTAATCTTACTATTTAAAGTAATTAAAGGTCGAAAACTTTTCAAAATTCTTTATGCAATTAATGAGTTAATAATTTAAGATCAACGTTTTAGAATGAGTCTATTTAAAAATTTTATAAAATTTGTTTAAAGCAAAACATACATAATTTAACAAAGAATTTAAATTATATATAAATATAATTAATCTAATTTATTCACGTCTACTTTTACAAAAATTCAGAAGGTCGTCCTCCAGTACCACCAGCTTCATCATAAACAAGTCCTGCAACTTTAAATGCTAACTCATCACAATCTTCACGCGTAGATGCTTCAGCATAAACACGTACTACATCTTCAGTTCCGGACGGTCTTTAGAAATTATTAAATGAGAATAATCAATAAACGTTGGAAGAATTGAATTTTAATAGCATTCAATGTCTTTAAAAAAAATAATTTATATACCTAACAAAGGATCGTCCATTCTTATATTGTGCAACCAATTTATCAATCTTTTCTTGAAGCCCTTTAGGTTCAACAAGTGTTCTCTCGGCATTAGTGGTTTTGAAGATATGTCTATTTGAAACCTATAAAATCAACAATTTACTTGAATTGATCTTTTTTAGATATAAATAAATAAATATATATATATATATTTTAAAATAATTTAAATTAGATCTTACCACAACTTTTACCAAACGATTGGGCATATCAGTATAAATTGAATTCCACTTTTGAAATGACCATTGTCGATTCATTAGAATTGATTCAACAAATAATAAATCTGATAATGCATCTCCAACTGTTTGATTAATTAATTCAGATAATGCTTGTAACTTTTTAACAGCTGTTTCTTGTTCAGCAGTTCGCCTATATTATAAACAAGAAATATATTAATGAATAATTCTTGCATCCAAAAAAAACATATATATATATATTATATAAATACTTTTGGTCCGATTGAATTTTATTCAACGCTTCAGAACTAAACAAAATTGTTCCATGTCCATTTGCTTCAAAATAAACCCCAACATCATATTCTTGAGCTTTATGATGAAGATGTTTAACACCTGTGGGCACGCAAGAAACTGGAACTTTCTAAATATAATCAAAGAAAAATGATGTCTATATAGATTATTAAATATTATAAATTAAATAATCTTATAAATGCATACCAATTCTTCCTCTAAATATGCTGTAGAACTTCCATTTGCATAGGCAGTTTGAACTACTCCCACATTTATATCGAGACCGGCAGTTTTAACAAGTTCGATAATAAACCCAGCAGATAATGCTGCAATCTTGTCTCCGTCTAATAATCTAAATGTACCATCTTTAAAATATAATATAGAATAATCAATTATAAAGTATATAATATATAATATAATAAAAATAATGAAAAATAAACATATAACTAACCTCCTTCAACATAATAGAAAACGATACGGTCTGCATCTCCATCTAAAGAAGCCGCACGGTGTTCACAGGTAAGATTTAACCCAAGTGGAGGATTTTGCCCTGTTTTTACATAATCGGCACCACACTTTCATTATAGGATGTTAGAATTTAACGTTAATTCCAATAAATCAAGTTTATATACAAAAATATATAAATAATAATAATAAAATGTATGACATTACTTGAAAGTTTAACTTTCCTCGAGCATTGATATCATCATTAATGATTGTAACTTTAAAGATATTATCATTAATCTTATCAATCCATTCAGCGAGTTCCCTAAGTTTTGGTGCACCAACCCCATTCGCTGCATCAATATAAACGGTGGAAAGACGTTGATTGTCTCCCTATAATATAAATAATTTTATTACACTATCTATAAAATCCTATACTAAATAACATTAAAATATTGCAACATACCACAGCTTTATAAAAAGCATTTGCAAATTTTTCGTAATAAAGTTTATCTGCGAGTTCTTCATAACGACCTTCTGCTGGTTTTTCACAACAATTTAAATAATTTGTAAAGTAATGAAGTTGTGGTGTAGTTTTAATGCCTAAATTCTCTCCCACTGCATTAATTGCTTTAATTCCATCTTCAAGTGCAGCTATTAACTTTGGTCCACTTGGTCTAATCAAAAGAAATATTAATTAATTATAATTAATTATTTAATTTAATTTAATTAATTTAATTAATTACAATTATTTAATTAAATTGAATTTAATTTAATTTTAATTTAATTAATAGTTTATTTTTCAAGTAAATAATAAATGTTAAAATTCAAATTACCTAGTATCTCTTGCATAAACAACGATAGCATTTTTTGATTCGTCGATCTCGTTTTGCGAAACAATAGATTTAATTACAGTGATCAAATCTTCTTCACTTTGAGCATTAGCTAATTGAGTAGCATAACCTTCCCATCGTTGTTCCAACATTTCTCCATTTGGATCTACAAGTTTAACTCCATTATCCTAAAAAAAAATGAAAAATATATTAGGCATAAATTATATAATAAATCTTTTGATAAAAACAAAGAAATAATCTTACTGCTTCAGGATTATGAGATGCTGTGACCATTATGCCTATAACTTTGGAATTTAATTTCTTGGAACGCAAGCCTGCTAAAATTCCTACTCGAAAAATCACCGATTCCAAGTATTCGGCTCTAAACATATAATTTATTAATATTTAATTATGTAAACTTAAGTATTTGATCTTATATAAAAATCAAATTAAAACATACTTCATTCGAAATCCAGCAGTTCCATAAGTATAATTGATTTCTTTAAGTTTTGGATGTTTTGCAGATGCTTCTTTAATTTTATTATAATCAATAATTTGTGCCATTTCTTATAACTTTTGAAAAAAAAACAAAGAAAAGAAATTGTAAAGAGCGAAATTATGTGTGTTACACTGTGAAATTACCATAACTTATACTTGTTACATTGTGTAATTTAATGCACCAAATGTCTCACTGCTCTTGCGTATGCACGTCGTATTAGACATTGATACGTATCAAAAATTTTTTCTTCCACTTATGTATGTACATATTATGCACTGTACATACTAAAAACAACGTACGTATCGGTTTTTAGATCAAAGATACCTTACGTATCGAGTTATAATAAGTTATTCATTCTGGAGAATTCAAAGAAAAGCATTCATAATATTTTTGGATTATCGTCTGTATAATTATACGTATAATCGATAGAAAAATTATTATTCATAAATCTTAAAATTTACCAAAATTAAGGAGCGAAGGAGTATTATGACGAAATTAAGAATAGCCAATAATGAAGCATTTCGAAAAAGTTTGATTATTTTATTAACGTTTAAACGTTAAGCAGGAGGAACTGTCCTATGATCTGATATGGCTACACAATTGTAAAGGAAATTTTTTTAATTAAATGTTTTACACTACTTTTTTCGGAAATTCATGTAACTTAGTTTACGATTAAACAGATTAAACAAGTTAGAAGGATGCCTTTATGTCCTGCAAATTAGGATCGGGAGCTGTTAACCTTACAAGAATTTCACCAGTTTCACCAGCATCTATAGTTCGAACTCGGTTCATTATTTAGAATAATTTCGGTTCAGGTCCTGTACAAACATCTTATAAAAAATTGTTCACCCCCCTAGTGATGCAAACGGCTTGAGCCGAGCCGCGAGACAAACGGCTAAGCCGAGTCGATGATCGGCTCAGCTCCAGGTCTTCTAACAAAATATTGGCTCGGCTTGAGACCTTGAAGCCTTCTTTTTGCCGTTTTTGATGTAGCTACCAGTGCATGATATAATGAAGATAAGTTAGTAATTAAAATATTACGCAAAACTAATAAAGTTTCTATAAACCTAAATACAACTCTTTCATCTGAAAGTTGTACAAGAATTTCAACAGATTGGAGATGATAACATTAACCTTATCTCAAACAAGAACATTCAAGTGAAATATATTTCCGCTACTTGTACACCTAAAATGCCAAACTGTTCTTTATCTAGATTGAGGCATTTGCCTTCCGCCAGAATTTTATTTCATCATCTGTCTTTTTTTTTTGTGAACTACAAAATATGCGGGAGCATTCGAAATACATAAGTTCAAAAGTCATTTCAAGGTAATTTCCTAGAAACATAATATCTGAGCGTTTTCCTCTACCTTCTCTCCTTTTTTATTTGTGTTAGCAATACTTTGTTTTTCCAATGTACTGATAAAAAATGAATCCTCTACAAGGGATTTTTTACTAACAAGATTTTCAGACACACAACTATACATAAAAACAATTCAGATCTAAGTCTAATCAACAATCTAATTCACAAAGTTAATCAGATTGTAGAAATATAATTACCAAAAGTAGCTATAGCAAACAACCAACTACAAACAATTATACAACTCAAACAAATTCAACAACAAACAACAATAGCAAAAAATACATTCTTCTTAAATGCATGTTCTATGAAATACCTTTCTAAATGTAAGTAAAATTTGATAAAATTATTATAATTAAAAGTAAAAAATTTTGTATAGTTGGTTTGTTTAAAAATAAAAAAAAAACTAAATATTTTTTTTAAAAAAAAGAAAAGTCTATTCTTTATCTTTTTTATTAATTAGCTAATTTATATAAGATACATACTGAATAAATTAAGCTAGGAGAGATAAAAGTAAGAGCTATTTTACTTTTGACATATTTTTTGCTAGAATGGCCAGTAGACTTTTAGTTTATAATAAGATAACTAAGAGAAAATTGGTTATAAGTAATATATTGATTTATCTTTTTATTTAGTAGAAAAGGTAAAATTGGTTTAGTTTTAGCTAATGTTGAAGGTTGTAATAATGGTAAAAATAAGAAGACAGAATTATTCTGAAAGGAAGTTAGGATTTTTTATATATTGCAGATATAATATTATAATAAATAAAAATAGTATATTTATGTTTATGTTTGTTATTTTAAATAACGTTAGAGTGTTACTGATTATTAGACCTAATGGCATTTATTTATTAATATAATTTAAGATAAAGATTTGAGTAAAATTATTAATATTATAACAAGGTATTTTTAAATTGTTTAAGATTTTATATACTGTATACCTTATTAAAGTTGTAAGTCACAAGTGATTTTGAAAACAAATAAAGAGATGTGTAATGTTTTTAGAAACATTATAACATCTTAAACAAAGATAGTTTGAATGCTTGGTAGTATCTCTCTAGTAAAAAAAAAGATAAGTAGATAATTCTTCAAATAATAGTTTGATTATAAAGTTTTTTAGTACAGAAAAAAATAAATTAGTTACTAAAATCAAAAGCTTTTCTTTGTATAATATGTATTATAAAGTTAGTGACCAATTAATATTTTATAAAATATTAGTAATAGATTTGTTGTTATTAGAATTATACCAGTCTGTTTTTAATTTGATATATCTGTTTTATTGTAGTTTTTAGTAAATACATGCAAGGGTTGCCAAGAAGTTTTAAGACAAATTGATTATATAAAAATTTTTATAATATAAAGTTGAGTAAAAAAATATTATTTTGGGTTTCTTGGATTTGAAGTTTCTTGTTAAGAGTAATTGTAAGTATATGATTATATATTATTGCTTTTAGTACTAGATGAAAGTAAGTATGTTGATATTTAGCATAGAGTAATTGTGTAATTGAATAGACTAAATAAAGATAATTAGGTTAACAAGTAAAAATTATTAGTATATATTTTTATATTAATGTTAAAGTTTGTAAAAGTAAATATAAAGATCAATAAGATTATTAAAGTATTTAAATAAGAGGTATAAAGATATTAAAAATAACATTTTGCTACTATATAATAATTATTTTTTATATTTTAGTAGCTATTTGTTATATAGAATATTATATTTTTTTATTGAAGTTAGCTTTTATTAAGGTATTTCAAAGTAATATCTAAGATTAAATATATTTTTTTGATTATAAGATTGAAGTGTTATAGGTGGAATTAGAGTTAGTACATTTTTAAAATTATTTAGATTAATATAAATTTTTTTTTATGATTTATTTAAAGATTATAAATTAGTTTTGCTATATTAAAGTAGTAGTATTTAGATAAATAAGTCTTGTTTTTTAATGTTTATTCTTGACAAGCTATTAGTATATTGTTAGAATGTATAATGTAATATCAAGTTTTAAAATTCTTATTAAAGATATTAAACATAAATACTTTTTTTAATAATCATCTGGACCAAATCTTTTAAAAAACTAAACTACAGAAAAATAATATAGTTAATATATCAAACTTTATAAAAACTTCTCTGAAACACTAGGTATATATAGTAAACATTAAATAGAATTGAAAAAAAGACTATTACTTTGTAATGATAGTTTAAAGAAGCTCTAAAACTATAAAAAAATGGTCAGTAAAAGCAAAAAATTGTTTATAAAGTAAACAACAGAGTTGAATATATTAGTTCTATATAATTATAAAACTTATAAGAAATATTTATAAGAGTCAAATATTTACAAAAGCTTAAAGTTTGATTTATTTATTATCTTTTTTTTTTCTTGAAGAAATTTTGTAAAAAGTAGACAATTCAGTTTACTTACTTCAAAAGATTAATATATAAAATTATCAAAACAATTAGCAATATTTATATAAACAATACAGCAATACAAACATGTTTTATACATGTATTTCGAATTGCAAAAACTTCATAAAATACTGTTTTCAGACTAACTAATATCTCATGCTGACTCTTTATATTCAAGTTGAAGTTTTATCCTATATGGTTTTTATTAAAAATTCTAGTAGATAAAAAAATAGTAAAATTAGTTCTATTTAGTATAGTTTATAATTTTTAAAAGCCTAATACAAGCTTATAATTGTAACTATCTGATAGTTATATAGTGAGAGCTGCATATATTTTTTCTTTTTTTTTTGACTTTATTTCTTTCTTTTTTTTATTTTTTGCATTTGTATTTTTTATCATCTATTTCTATACCTCTGTGTTTTTTTCTATATAAGTTTTTTTTTGTTTTTGTTTACTTCTCTATGAGAAGATGTTATTAGATTAACAACATCCTATTGTAAAGCAGTGGTCAGATGTGGCCTCTAACATACTCTAATTTCTTTTGAAGTTAGACAGTTAGTATAGGCAAATCACTTGTAGAGACTCATAAAAGCATTTGCATAATATTGAATCAGAATTTATGCAATAATTTGTATATATATAATGTTAAGGAAGTAAAGGTTGTTTAGAATTTTTCATTAGAATATTAAAAGTGTCTGGTTCATTTTGAGTTAAAGCTGTTTTATCTAAATTGATATTAGAAACAAGACACAATTTACTTGTATAAAACTTAAAACTTCTAGTATGATTAAGTTACCATCTAACTTATTATCTACTTCTTGTCAATCTTCAGATTTTCCTACCTAATAAAAACTTTTATTTCTTTATTATTATATTTATATTGTTCTAATGCAATTGCATTAAAAAGATCAAAAAATTAATTATTTGTAGGCTTTATACTTATTATACATTCAGAAATAATAAATTTAACACTTTTATTAACTTGAACCAAATGGTATAACATTTATAATTTTTGAGAAAATTAATTATAAGCAAGTTTTTTATTATAAAACCACATTAACTTTTATTTATTTTTTTTTTTTTTTATAACTATGTTATTTTTTCAATTTCTATTGTTCATATTATATAATTCATCATTTTAATCATATATTCTAACTTTTCATGATATGTTTTAGATTATTAAAGTTCTTTGCTATTTTATAACAAGGTTCAATGTAGTCAGTTTAGGACATATTGTATGAAGACAAGGTTTTTAGTTACTAGACATAGTTGCTAACTATTAAAAGATTTTTAACCAAATTAGAATATATATAGCAATAATTTAAGTAACAGTAGAAAGAGATTACTTAATTACTTATATATATTAGCATCTAAGGATAGAATTTTTTTATATTTAGAATCTATTCACATTAAAAAAAAGTATATTGTTATTGTCAAGTAAATAACAGATAAGTAATTGCTATTTGAGTAATTGTCATAATATAAATCCAACAAAGAAAGCTTTTTTTGTTGAATAAATAAAAAACTTTCTTATTAATATTTAGGTAATATTTATATATTTTTTTTTTTATTATTATTAAAGCCAATGTTATTAGTAGCTATCACCTTTATTTATGTTTTTAGTCAATGCATTACATGTGACTTGTACAAGGTAAATGTGCAACTAGCCATATGTGTAACTTTTAGTTACCTATTTAAGTAGTCCACTCAAGGGTTCTACACTAGCTGCCATGCCTGTAACCTACTAGAAGGGTACCTATTGTTACAAAGTAGATTTTTAGCATAGCATAGTATATTATATTATTAGTAGTTATTATATATTTATTATTGTATTTTATATTATATTTATTATTAGTTATTAGCATAGTTATATTATAGTATATAGCAGTTAGAAAATAGGATCTTAATTGGCTGTTAGAAGTATGATACAGACATATGACATTGAGTAACATCTATGATATCATTATTGTCTTACAAACTCCAAGTACCCCTACATAAGTTTTATATATCCTAATACAATTTACTATGCCAAATAACATAGTATAAGAATCCCAAGTATTCCTTCCACAATCCTCAAGTATCTCTGCACAATTTCAAGTATCCCAACACGATCTTCAGGTGTCCCTGCACAATCCCAAGTGTTCCTACATAATCCTCAACTGTCTTTGCACAAACTCAAGTATCTTAACACATGCTCCAAGTGTTTCAAGTACAAATAACAAATACACATAAATATTGTTCCAACTATCCCTATACAAACTCCACTTGCCTCTGCACAATCTCTACTATCCCAAATATAGTATCAAGAGATGTCACTCAAACCTCCACTACTCTCACTAGGTAAAAAGATATATAAAGGGTACCTTTTTCTCTTTTCTGCCAATTCTAGGTTCCTACACTTCAACCCAGACATAATGACCTTTTGATTATAAAAGGTGATATTCCTCCTCTAGGATAATTTCTACAGGCAAAGTTGTTACTATATGTGTTATTAATAAAAAGTTAATCTATATACTGTTATTATCTTGAACTGTTTGCCTACTGCTATGTAGTAAAATAAACTACTACACCTCCACCCTGTACATATTTGCAATAGTCAATCACTGTATCAGATAATCTTGTTACTTGATTGTATTGTATCAAGAAGGCTGCAACCCTGTAACAATACTTATTATTCTTTACAATAATATATACAATTTATTATACTACCTCTACTATAACAAATATCCTATAGAGCAACCTGCATATAGAACAATTAAAAACATTAGCAATGCCTATAATATAGCAATATAGTCTTCTTAACACTAAATAGAAAACATTTTACTTTTATTTTTATTAATAAACTAGAAAGTCATTTGGCTCTTCCTTAACAACAATTACAAAAGATTTACATCTTATACTAGCTTTAGTCTATGTTATAAAAAAATTTTTAAAATTAAACTTATATTAGGAATACTATCTATATTATTTCACTTTTACTCTTTTTATTCAACAATATATCTAGATAAATACTGCATTTTATGCAATATATACAATAGTCAGTTATACTAGCTAATATGCCCAAACTTATATATACTGAACTCTATTATTATTAACACAATATAACAATTCTTTAACAACTTACAACTAGATATAACAATTATACAATTACAAGAACTATATGACAAACTTATTAATTACTTATGTTTTTCTTCAAACAACCTTATTAGAAATTATACAAATATATACACAACTATACAAGACTTTATTCCAACTATATTAATTAATACTATACAAAAATATATTACTAGCAACCAGTTAGCAATTGGTACTAAATAAAATTTCTAATCCAACTATCTCAAAATATATATAATCAAATCTGAAAATTATACTATACCAAACTATCAGAATGAAAACAGCAAAATAATATTTCTAACTAACTACTATATAATTGACCAACTAACTTCAATACTTCAACTAGATTACTATCACAAATCTAACTATCATATATTTATGATTATACTTATAAACTTCTAAACTAACAGCATGCAGATAATTTCTACAACTCTTATATTTGTTCACTATAAAGAAAAGCAAATAAAAATTATTTAAATAGATATTTGAATAGATAAACTATAGTACCCTACTAATAACATCTTACAATATCAAATTTAGATAAGTTTTAACCACTTTAGTAGGTTTAGATTGCAGATAAATTAGATAAAATTAGATAATAATTTTGTTTATAGTTTAAGTCTCATTTTTGTAAAAAATTTGTAAATTGGCTTTAGCCTGTGTTAACTTATATAGTTGCTTATAACAAATTAATAATAAAGATAAAGACAAAACCTCATCTTAATACAAAAAAAAATAAAAAAATAAAAAATAAAATTTTCTCAATAGATGCATTCAAATTATTTTCTGTAATATAGTTTGAAGGTTTGAATCTATAAAGTCTGCATTACCTTTTTCTTTACACACACTTCACATCAAGAATGATAATCATGTCTAAGATAAAAAAAATAACTTTGTATAAGAAAAGAACAGTCAAATCCTAGACCTGCCTCAAAAGACTAAAACTGCTTCTAATAAGACTATTTTATAAAAAAATTAAAGACAACTAATATATTGTAAAGGATTATAAAAAATATTTACTCTTTTATCAGCTTGGTTAACTATAATATTAGATATTGTATTAACATTAATAATTGAACTATTGGATTTTTCAATTTTTGCTTTTTTTGTAATACACAGATTCTTTTTACAGAGATTTATCTTAGAGGCCTTTGATAAGATGGCAGAAGTATTTTGTAATATTATAGTGCTAATACAAGAAAAAGTGCCAATATAAAAAAAAGAAAGAAGAAATAGTCAAATTTGCAAAAATTATGCTAATATAAAAAAATATAAATATATTTTCAAAAAAAACAAACAAATTTAAAACAAAACATTGTAGAGAAAAGAATCCTTTTATTAGCATAAGCTAGTATATTACTTTTTTTAATTTTTTTTTATCAGCATGATGAAGATTATTTAGAATCTATGCCAGAAAAATTGAATAAGTTATATAATTAAAAAATAAAAAGGAGTATGGCAACTTAGTGAAGTGGATAAGTTGTCAACCCCTCAAGTGATAGGTTGGGAGTTCAAAACCCACTGACAGTGAAAATTTGAAAAACCACCTATGTTACATCAGTATATACAGGCATCTGTGTAATGCTAGAGTTACACAGAGGAATGCAAACCAGCATTGAGCAATGCAAACAAGTTCTTGAAACTGATATTATGATGATGGCTATTTATTGATCAGTTGGGATCAGTACCTGTAACACAGTTGCACCAGATAACTGGCAGGTTATGGGGCATCTGTGGCCATGTAAATCCGTGAACTGGAATAATCGGAAGCCTACTTGGGAAGACCCAAGTAGAGAGGTAACACAGATCTTCGACAGTACTACTGTAAAGGCTAGACCTAGAAAATGGATACCAATATGGAAGGAATCGGGTGGGCAAGAACCTCAGGTAAGGAGTACCACCAATCAGGTCACCGGAAGACTTGAACCAAAGGAAAAGGACCTTGGGGGGCAGACCCTGGGGTACCAGAGACAGGTCACAGTCCTACTGGACTATCTGGATTAGGGAGTCTGAGATTGAAAACAGAGGTATACTAAAGTACTAGGGATATGCTGTGAAGTCAGTGCTGGGGTCTGGGTGAACTCTGCAAGAGTGAGCCCTGTTAACAAGATACTAAAACATAGATAGTTAGTTAGCAGGGAGGCCTTCTGGAGCCCTACAGTCAGGTGATATACTTTGAAATATGTAACAGCTTGACGGATGTACAGACAGGAAGATCATGGTTAGGTTAGATGGCACTTAGGTGTACGGAAACTTGTGCGCTATTTGTCGGTATAAGTATAGGGATCAGAGTATTTAAAATAGGTAATCTCCTAGTAGATTGCAGGTATGACAGCTAGTGTAAAACCTGCTGTGCAGGCGGATTACTTAAATTAGACAACCAAAAGTTGTACGTGTGACTAGTTGTATACTTACTTGTACAAGTTATGTAATCATAATTAAAATACAATAAAGGCAATAGCCGCTGATAACTATGGCCTTAGTGAAAGCAAAAAAAAAAAAAAAAAAAAGTAGTTAGATAAGCAGTCTATCTCTAACTGAGATAATATAACAAGTTGTACTTAAGTATTTAACTAAGTAATGCTAAACTTAGATATTGGGAAATTTTATATAATTGTATATATATATAGTTTCAAGAATTTTAATAAAATACTAGTGTAACTGCTTAAGGTTAAAAAAAAAAATACTAACCAAGTTACTAGATTTGACAAAAAAATAAATATAAAAGTATACTTTATTAAATCATTTGAATTAATAATTTAAAGAGTTTTTTTTTTTTTAAATATTAATGGTGATTTAAAGAGTTTTATTAATCTTAAATAACAAAAACATAATAAAAAATAACAATAATAATAAAAATTATCAAAATGATAAATATTAAGATTTTAGTAAACTTTATAAGAACAGAAATAATATAACCCTTACCGTTAATATATAAAAAAAAAAAAAAAAAAATAATATAACAGTTTAATAGATAATACTTGTGATTACAAGTGTTAATCTAACTCTAACATATTATATAAAACTAAATTAACAATATATAAGATACAAAAGGTTTTAATAAGTTTTTTATTAAAAATAAAATAATCATAAAAGTAAATAACATGTATTGAATACATTAGATGAATATAATCTTGAAAATGTTTTTATAAAACAAAATAGTTTATAATTATAGAAGATTTAAATAAGCAAAATTCATGATTGAAGATATGATATCTAGTATAGAATTTATATAATAATATATAAACAGTCTACTTAAATTAAGTATCAAAAATGTTTATGTAACTAGTTATAACTTCTTATATGTATAAAGAAACCCTTAAAAACATTCATGTTCTATAAACTTAAATAAAAACATTACTTCTTAAAAACATAAACTTTTTTTTTTAAAAAAAAGATTATTTATATTAAATTGATATGCATCAAATCCTGTAAATATCTACAGAAACCTGTAAACTTTAAATATAAGCTGGACTAAATGTTAAATTTTAAGTTCTAAAATAAGAATAAGAACCCAAAAGTTAAACTCTTATACAGAAAAAGGCTAAGATATTATTACTACCCGACTCTACCTAATCCAAGCTATTACATAATTTTCTAATGTTCTTAACAAATTACTTTTTTGCTATGCCAAACATATCATTGATTGATGATCTCATTTATTCTTCTTTCTGATATCTTTGTTAACTGTAACATGTAGCTTAGCTAGAAATTATGATCATATTATTTATATATGCTAATAAAACATGTGATAGATCATTAATCATGTATTATAACCTTTATCAATATCTTTTTAAGTTACACCTTTCCTCATTATCGGATAAGACTTTATAATTTCAGGTAAAGTTGCAGCAGGAAAATATCTCTTGAAAGGTTGCTCTACACAATTATTATCTCTCAATTCTATTGAACACAAGCTAAATTACATCGTTCATAACGAGTGAAAAATTAATCTGACCATTTCATAACGTAATAAATTTAGCGACCATAGAACTCTTTCAAATCTGATCATATAAAATATAAATTCAAAATGATTTGATGATCATTAAAAATTGTTAACATTGTTAAAAAAAAAACCCCCCACGATACATTTGAAGTTAATTTCCTATTCTATTATTTGTTAACTATTTGTAACGATAAATAAAAAAAAAAACAGTTTCAAGATGTTATCGCGAGATCACATCTACTCGGATGACAATTCCAAACAATTACTAATTAGAAAAAATAGGTTCGATTTCTTGTAAGTATTAAAGTGTTAAATTTATTAGATGACAATATAAACAAATGCATAAATGTTCAAGGTTCATACCAAAATATAATAAATTGGTTATCAATCGTTTGGAACAATGTGAGCTACATAAAGAATTTTTTGAGCAGGCATAAAAGATTATGAATCTACATGATATTTATTTATTGAGTACTTACATCTTAAAGGGCATGCTACAGGAGCCTTATCTTCTGCTATAATTTCATGCAGTTTTCGTTGAAAATAGTATTTTATTTTTAGTTGTTTGCGTTCACCCATACATGGATCATAAAACCCAATGATATTCGACTACAATATATAAAATGTTATCCTACGATAAAACCAAATTACAATTTAATTAAAGGTTTACCTTAGAACGGCCTCCAGGAATAATTAATTGAGATTCAAATACCAGTGCCTGAATCGGTATTTTGACATCAAAAACGTCGTCATAATGATTTTCCGTCGAAGCTTCTTTTATATGTGAAAAATTGCCGTACCAGGCCTCTAGGATGATAAGACCGTTTGTCTTTATCATTTCAGCTTCTATCTTACGTTCTACGGAAGGTTGCAAAAGCCGTATTGCTTCCTCGGCCTCACGCTTACGAGTAGAAATAAACTCTGCGTGGCGTTCGCGAAGAATGGCTAATTTCCTAAATAAAACTCTCTTAAGCAGTTGTTTTGTAGAGAATATTAAAAAATGAGTGTAAGTATTGATTCATACTCAGCTGCTTTCTTCTTTCGTCTTGGTCCCAAAATAGTTTGCTCAATAGCAAAGATTGTTATCACAGGCAACAAAGTCCCCCAAAATACAAATTTGAGGTTATATTCTGATGATACATGAATTGGAACTGTGATTCTTTGCCCTAAACGAGATAGCCTAAGACAATAAAACAAAAAGGAAAGGAAAAAAAGCGCCAACATAGTTTTAATTTTTCTCCAACGCACTATTAACATCCTTAAACTACTTACAAGATTTCGAACAACTATAGATCACCTGCATCTAAAAGTGATCCCACTGGGAATTCCGAACTCAATAGCAATCGCCAACTTTGTATTTTCTGCAACTTTACGTTCACCAAGGAGTATGGCAATCAGACCACTATAATGAACAAAATTTTAAAAGCCAATACACATTCAATGAATAATGGACATGAATTATTTTCATACCTCGACGTTGATAAAGTAGTTACTGCTCTGATTTGATAAATATCAAGTAATTTGCGATTGTAATTGGCAGAAATATATGAATGTGCTAAGCCGGTCTATGAAATCAATCAGATGTTTATAACTTTGGCTTATATAATAAAGGGTAGGCTAAAATAAAAAAAGCCAACACATGCCTGGATTTCTAAACCATATACAGATTTTTCCATAGAACTATTGATTCCAATGGTTGCTGATGATCTTTCGCGACGAGATGAAAAGTCATTTTGGCCCCAAGGACCCAAAGACCATGTACCAGTTTTGTATGAGAGGTAGCCAGATGTATTTTCACCGAGTCGCCGACCAGCCATAAAAGATAAAATTGGTGGAGAATTGATCATTTGAGATTGCGCAGTTACTGTAAAAAAGCTATCAAAAAAAGATAATAACAATAATAAATTTACAAATTAATATTATTATATCTACTAAAATATTTAGTACACACCCATCCGCTCCAAAATTGTAATTTGCTTTTGCAGTCGTGATTCTTGGCTGAACCACCGATGATCCGACCTAATACGAGGAGTTTGGCCAGCTTTTCAACAAACTTATAGAAAGGACATTTACTAATAAATAAATAGGGTAATCTTTAACGTACTTCAGCCCAAAAGTGTGGTGAAAATGTGTGTCGTATGCTTCCAGCAATATTCCCACCGCCAACTCCATTTCTTAGAATAGTTTGACCAACAACGAAAGCTTGTGTTTGCGGTTTTAATTGAGTCTTAAAAAAAAAAAAAAGGATATATAAGCAAAATATTCTTGAACGCACGTGGTACCTTATATAATGAAGAGCACCTTACTTCAAATGAATGCTTCATAAATAGTTGGGTAACCTCAATATTTTCAAAAATGCTTGAAAGGCCAAATACATTTTTGCGTTGATAAGGCACACTATCGTACGGATCAAACAACTGAGTTGCATCAATACTCAGCTGAATGTCACCCTAATACATTAACAATAAGTTAATAAGACGATGTATAATTTATTCAGAAAAAAAGAAAAAATAAAAAAATTAATGCTATTAAATTGAAATAATAAATACTTTTGATTTCACCATGTTTTCCACATCATGCTCTTTCTTTAATCTTGCCTGCCTTTCAAATTCCTCTCTTAACTAATAACAAGCATTTTAAAGCTCGTTAAAAACTACGAAGATGAATAATGAATTGAAAGAACATTGAAAATTTTTGACAAACTTCTTGTGGGGTTTTCAACCGAGTCCCAACTTCCCATGAGGTGTTTAACCCTTCTTCTCCAAACATATCATATATTGCCCTTTTGGTAGGATCCGTCAGAACTGTTGCAATGTTTGCATATTTTTATAGATCTTTACAGAATTTTAAGTAATAAATGAGCACAGCAGGCACTTAGTTAATACTTACCTTCATATGCTCGCTGTATTACTTGAAAGTTGGTCTCAGCGGTTCTCTTATTTTCCAGGTCTATGTGTTTATCCGGATGAAACGTTCTACATAATCGCTTATATGCTTCTTTGATTTGTTCGTCTGTAGCCTATTCATATGCAATTAGTATACAGTGTAATCTCCACGTAATCTAATTGTTTATTAACAATACCTCCTTGGGCACGTTCAATACACCGTAAAAGTCTACCGTTGGTGGGTTCAAGGAATCTTGTGCTTCCTCGGAAAAGTCTTCCGAAAACGCGTTGTCATCAAATGGCGGGGTGGGCGATCCGCTGTTTTGCTCGTAAGAATCCATTTTGAGCACCGTTTAAAGAGCTATTCCCGTTATCGTTATTTCCTAACACCAACGGTAGTAACTTAGCGTTAGATAATCAGTAAAGCCAATAAGCACGTGATGCAATCTGAGGGCGTAGTAATTTGAAACCTCACTCGTACCAGCGCTCAAAACTTCATGTCTTCAGAAGATTCACTTTATTCAAGATATAAAAATGCAGCCTCTATATCTCTTCCTCCAACCTCACAATGGGCATTAGGTGTAGGAAATATTACTGCACCTTATCCGTTATCTTTCAAGGCTGAAAGTTCTGTAATGGGTAATACATGGTTATCTTTAGTTTTTCAGCAATTTCGATTTAATTTAATTTTTGTTCTTTGATAGGTCATGATAAAACAAAGGATAAAGAATTGTTTCGTAAAAAATTTGGCTTGGAAGAAGATAAAACACAACCTTCTCAAGATTTACTTGCTGTATTTTTACTTTTTACTTTTTTTTTTTCTTTTTTTTTTATATACATTGATTTTTATTCTTATTTTATTTTTTCTAAATAAGTATTATCGTGAAACTTCAAGTAACGTCATTCGTTCACCTAGTTCGCCACAGCCTTCAATATTAGCACAAACAACTCCCGTAAGAAGAACAAGACCATCATCTAACCTTGACAAAACACCGTTGGCTACTCAAAAGCCAACTCTCGGTCCGTCACATTTAGCTGGACAGACTCCATTCATAGGTCATACGTCCTTATTTACATCATCCTCTCAGGAAGAACGGGAACCACAATCTCCTATTGTTGGTAATAGTTATACTGCTTTGAAACGTCCCTCACAAGTCCCACTTTCACAATTTGACGAAAAATTGAACATCAAGTATATTTTATTATTAAAGTTATGAATTATTTGATATCGAATACTTAATCGTTTATCACAATTATAGAGAAGATCCATCGATCGCAACAACATTTGATCCAGAAAAAGACAGACAATTATATGAAACAGCAGTGGGTTTTTATAGAAGTTTTAGTAAGGGTAGCAGTCAGGAAAACGAAAGCTTCTTCTGGGAATGTTGAAACGTTGAACAACATTTTTCTCGAGATGATGCGAATTTCCAAAAATTGCTGCATTATTTCATTATTTCTTAAATTAGCGCTCTACTTGTTTGCTACTAATATATATGATTTGACCTAATAACATCTGCAACAAAAAAGAAAAAATAGTAATTTAATTTTTACCTTTCAAATGCAATTAAATCGTTAGTTAAAAAAAAAACCTTTTAATTAAATTAAAAACTTCCTTTATATGTGTTAGATTACTGCTTTTTAATGGTCTTACAACTTAACTTTGATGCTAGTATTCAATATTAACCGTAGTTTCTGGTTCATTTATAGGCAAAATAATTATAATTGATTAGAATTGGTTCCTTAGATAGTTTCCAAGATTAATATAAAAATTTATCCACAAATCAGATACCGACGTAGTCATTAATGTCTCCATCATGCATTCGTCAAAATTCGAATAATATGGAAGACGTTTCCAACTTATCATCATTTTATGTAAATAGACAGATATAGAGCAGAGACCCGGAAATTTTGGATTTTATTTATAGGATTTGAAATTCATATAAATAATTTTTCCGGATCCCTGATGTAGAGTTTGACTTTGCAAATTACATACCATGGTTTGAATAATCTCTTGGCTTCATTAGGATTCTATTCGTCATTATTACCACATTATATATAAAATATAAAGTTTCTTTTTGTTCAATGTAATATTTCACTCTCAAGCTGTGTTCTTTTAATGTTTGTTGCTGTAATGAGGAAGTGAATTCTATATTTATGAACTTTGTAATCTATTCAAGTATAAAGCATACTAATGTAGAGCTTTTGATTCTTTTATTTGGAAACGGCGGACAGGTTTGTACAACAATATTGACGATCATAGCATACTGTTTCCAATATTACTGTTATTTCTGTTCTTCACTCAATTCCTTTGTAGAAGCATGGCACTCTAGTTTCATCGGTAAAAACTTACGTGGTATTAAAAAGTTAGTTAGAGCGCCTAGAAGGTTTTTGTGCTGTTTCTTACTCAATTATTAGACATTAGTGTGGTTAATTTCGGTTCCAAATTCGGTTCGGATAAGCGAAGGGCGGAAATTCACGGATTTTAAAAAAATAAAGGCTTGCCATTTAAATTCAAATTAACTATATTTAGACTAGATACTTAACATTCGATATCCAATCATAATTTGAATTGTGTTTATGCGCTTGTTTATCCAATTATCTTCGGAGCTCCAAAAAAAAAAATTTTGTTCCACTTTGATCAATAAGAATATAAACTTGTTTCTAAGAACCCTTATCCCTCTCTTACTATCTTTAACTTCTGTCTCTTTTTGCCGATAACCAAGTTTTACATCCTCCCCACTCTTAAACCTTATAATGTCGGGTCAAACAGGTCAAAAGAAAACCGGCTCTAACTTCGCCTTTGATTTTTTGATGGGCGGTGTTTCCGCTGCTGTTTCAAAAACTGCAGCCGCTCCTATTGAACGTGTTAAATTATTACTTCAGAACCAAGAAGCTATGATCAAGTCCGGTCGTCTCTCAAGGCCTTACAAGGGTATTGGCGACTGTTTTGTTCGAACCGTTAAAGACGAGGGTGTTATCAGTCTTTGGCGTGGTAATACCGCAAATGTCATCCGATACTTCCCTACTCAAGCCTTAAACTTTGCGTTTAAAGATAAGTTCAAGCGAATGTTTAACTATAAAAAAGAGAGGGACGGTTATGCTAAGGTGTTTCTTGGCAACCTTGCCTCCGGAGGTGCTGCTGGTGCTGTATCTTTAACATTCGTGTACTCTCTCGACTTTGCTCGAACTCGTCTTGCCAACGACGCCAAGGCTGCTACGAAAGGTGGTGGTGAGCGTCAATTTAACGGTCTTATCGATGTCTATCGTAAGACCCTTGCATCCGATGGCTTAGTTGGTCTTTACAGAGGTAAATCGCTTTTTTATATATTAGCTAAATTCTATATACTGTTATCTGATCTTTTTATTTGCTTTAAATCGCGCTAGGCTTCAACATTTCGTGCGTCGGTAAGTTATATTTTGGATACTTTGATCCATTTTCGTTAAACCATCTTGCATATTATGTTTACAATAGCATTTATCTTTACATGCTAGCATGATCTTTATCACTTATCAATTTTTATTTTTACCCTAAAAAAGGCATCATTATTTACAGGGGTCTTTACTTCGGTATGTTTGATTCTCTTAAGCCTATTGTCCTCACTGGGTCTCTCAAAGACAATTTCCTCGCATCGTAAGTTTAATTTACCGTTAATAGTTGTTTAATTTCATGCATCAAATTAAATGGTTGGCTTGTTATTAGATTTTTGCTCGGATGGAGTGTTACTATCGGAGCTGGCCTTGCGAGTTATCCAATAGACACTGTACGACGTAGGATGATGATGACGTCTGGTGAGGCTGTAAAATACAAATCCTCCCTCCACGCCTTTAAAGAAATTGTTGCCAAGGAGGGTACGGGATCTTTGTTCAGAGGTGCTGGTGCCAATATTCTTCGTGCCATCGCTGGTGCTGGTGTCTTAGCGGGGTTAGTCTTTTTCATTTCCTTGGTTGTTTTGTTTGTACACTTTATTTCTAGCTAAAATGTTCCCTATTTTAGTTACGACCAACTTCAAGTTATTTTCTTCGGTAAAGCATACTCCGGTGGTTCTGGCTAAGATATTTATTTATAGCGACATTCTTGGTTCTTGGAAATCGGTAAAAAGACAGACAAATTTATATAAAATATAGATAGATTATTTTTTAAAATATCCCAAGTGTTTCAGATTATTACTGGCTAGCCAGTAAGTTACCTTAGCTTTAATATGTTTCTAGTAAATTTTAATTACAAATCATATAGAAATATTGTTAACATAGTTATTACTATAGTACAAAGTTTCTGAATTTATAGAAATCTTTGAAATTGTTATAAAAAATGCTATTCATATGAGCATTCGTAATCACATTACAATGTTATAAGTCTTAGGGACGCGTAAAAAAATTTGGTCCAAATTTTGTCGAGCAATTTAGAACGTCCCAAACCAGGCGATAAAAATTAGTATCGCACAGTTTCGACAATATGCCGGAATCCATGTGATGCATATATATAAAGTTTAGTAAATTAATTTTGTTAATAAAATATAACTATGTAGCTTTAATTTAGAAATGTATATATATTTATCGTGTCACCCAAACCCTATAGTCTCGAATCCAAATAGCAATAATATTTGCCGCTATTTGAGTGACATTAACTCTGATGAAAAATTTTCATTATACGTATGCTGATGATCGCCGCAGTCAGGTGATAATCGAAAAATTCATTTAGGTTAAGGTTAGGGATATTTTAGAATTAAAGAAGCACTTTAATAGTAAAATTGCTCAAGGAAACTTTTATTAATGCGCAAGGGGTGTTTCTTATGCAAAATTTGTGATTTTTGTTTTGAATTTTCCTGACCGTGTTACGTCATACGTTATTGCCTAATTCGCTGTCGAGCACCACGTGACTGCGCCATTTTTCAGAAGAGTAAGTCTACGGACACTATGCGTACCTAGGAATTAAGCTTTAAAAAAAATTTCCGTTGATCAATCAAACTTCAAGAGCAGGCATACCAAAAAATACAGTAGTCCAAAATATAGACTATGAAGCCATCTTTTACATATAAAAATTTCTGTGAAATAATATCTTCGAACCCTAACCAAATGGCAAGATCCTGTTCCTAACCTAAAGACTCGAAGTTTTTACTAGAAATGTTTTATTACAAGACGAATGTAGTTGGCATATATCGTTGTCAATGTTATAAAAAGTTAGAATGGTATAGTTTATAACTTTGCTAAATTTAAAACTGCTGATTTTTGAAAATGTATCTAGTTTGCATTATGTTTATTTTTTTTGTTTAAGTCCCTGCCTTTGAAGAGTGGTTTTTATTCAAGTTTTTGTTAGAAACAGGAGCCTTCAGAGGCTTTCTTACATTAGAGGTTACAACTAGTCACAAGTGCATTTTTGGTGCCTAATTTAAGTAGTCCGTCTTACATATTATTACATAGATTCTATACTAAATGTTATATCTAAGTCAACTATGAGTCTTGTTTATTTAAACTCTTTGCATATGCAATCTTTTTGTATTATGAGAACATCTTTAGAGCACAATTATTTAAGTTCTTGATCCTTATTAGTGTTTTTAGAATTACTTTTTCCTTAGCAGAAAATTTACTAAAGTCTATCATATCTTATATATATTAACTTAGTTTTATATAATATGTTATAGTTATTTAATATTTGCAGTTATAAGGGTTATTTGTTTAATTACTATGTTATTATTTCTACTCTTATAAAGTTCATTAGAATCTTAATATTTTTTTTTTAATATCTTTATTATTTTCTTTATTAGTTCTTTTTTAGATTATTTTTGATTCTTTAAATTACTAATTTAAATATTTAGTATAATGTATTTTTGTAATTTTTTTCTCTAGTTAGTTTGATAGCCTGGTTGATTATATACTATTTTATACATCTTATTAATATTTTTGAAAGATGTTTATAGGTTTTTATTAGTTTGATAATAATATTGAATATTTATATTATCTTTTTATTTAAAAATTTTCAAATAGGTTTTTAGTTTCTTAGTTTCTTAGTCTTTTATGTCTAGTAATCTTATTATAAGTTTGTATTAAAATCTTAAATGCTATTAGTTATTACTATTTTTATATATATATATAATATTATATTTTGTATAAATGTCTTAAGTTTTTAATATTAGGTAGGATCTAACTTAGTGTATTTAAGATTATAAATTCATAAATTCAACTAATTATTAGAGATTAGTTTTATTATAATATAAATATAATTTTTTTTTTTTTTAACCTTAAGCAGTTATATTAGTATTTTATTAAGATTCTTGAAACTATATACATTTATAATTATATAGAATTTTCTAATACTTAAGTTTAGCATTACTTAGTCATCCTATTGGCAACGTTATCATGAGACAACTTTGAACATGACTTTAAACATTTTTGAACATTTTTGAATAAAAATATAAATTAAAATTACTTACAATTTTATTAAAATAATATATATACATTTCTAAATAAAAAATATTTAAACTTAAAAAAATATATAATCATATATTTTTTAAACAAATCTATTAATTATTAAAGCTTGGATATGCTTTGAACACTCTTGAACACTTGGACATTTGGATGTTAAATATAGTTCAAAAAAGTCTTGAACATAGTAGAAGTGACAATACTGCTATTGATATCTAAATGCAACCTGCTGCACTATCTTAGTTAAAGATAAACTGCTTATTTAACTACTTAAAGGCATACTAGAAGGGTCTTTTTCCTTTTGTAACAAATATATTAATTGTTTTTTTAGTTTCCTTCTTTATTCAGTTCATTTTTTTCTTTTTCTTTTTCTTTGTTTTTTTCTTTGTCAATTATCTTTCTCTATTCTTCTTCTTAAATTTTTTTTAATTCAAGCACATTTTTTTATTTTACTTGTTATGTTACTCTTCTTTTCTTATTCTTGCATTTTTTCATATTAAACTCTTTATTCTTGGTTGTAAAATATATTTTATACTATTCTTGTTACTATATTTATGCATCTTTGTGTTGCCTATTTATCTAAAATCTAACTAATCCTTTTTCTAACCTGATTTATAGTTAGTTTTTTTATTAGTACTTTTTTGTTAACAATTTTCTTTGTTTCTGTTTTTTTAAATATTGCCTCATATAGTACTCAAGATGAAATTTTAGTTTTTTCATTTTCTTTAAGATTATTCTATGCTGTTGCTATTATTACTTTTTAAATCTTTTTCTACAAGCTTTTTTGTTCACTGCAGCTTGCCAAATATGTTTGAGTTTCTTTCTTATCTTTTTGATATACTTGGCAATCTGTTATTGTATATATTTTTAATCTTCTTCTGTTTAATTCTTCTGGTATTAATAGGTCATTTATTATATACATTTGATCATTATTGCTCTTTTTATACTAAGTTTTCTTGTTATATAATGTATGCATTTTGTTCTATTTATTTTTTTTTTAAAGCTTGACCAATTGTATTAAGTGTTCTCTGTTTTTGGCTCTAGTCTCTACTGGCTCTAATTTTAGCATTTATAACTATTTTGCAAAGAAGTCTTATTAGTATATTAACTTTTTTGTTTTTCTATTTTAGGTAATACTCTATTTTGTTACATTTGATCCTCTCTGTAGATATTGTCATTCTACATGTTGCTCCTTTCTTTGCAAATATATCTGCTCTGTTATTCTACTTGTTATTACTATAACTCTTGACTTTAACCAGTTCTATTCTATTACTCTTACTTTTGACTAGATCTACAATATTCATTACCCATATCATATTTTTCTTTTTTAAGACTTTGTCATCTCCTGACTCTTGAATTGCTCTATTAATATTCTTTAGTGCTGTCAGACTATCTGTATATACTTCTATATTCTTTCTCTCTGGTACAATTAAAATTGCTAGTCATATTGCTGCTAATTCTACTGTTATTGCTAAAGGTCAACTTTTAAGTTCTAATATTGTTTTTTCTTTTGACTAGTTTTCTTTGTTATTAATCTGTGCCCAACTAATGCTTATCTTTTCTTTACTATTTTTTTTTTTTCTTTATATAATACTTTATCTGTATAAAAGATATATTTGTTTTTGTTTCTTATCTTGTTTTTCATTAGGACTGCTATTAAGTAAGCTGTAATTTCACTATTTAATTTTTGTTTTTTAATTAATTCTATTTCTAATTCTTCTATTTGGTTTAACCAAATTAGTCTTCTTTTCTTTTTGTTTTTTCTTTTTCTTACTATTACGTGTTTGTTTTGTTGTTTTGTTTTGATTTGGGTTTTGTTTGTTTA